TGACACCTCATGTACTCTAAGTTTGAGAAGTTAGCATTATCTGAGAAGTTGCTATTTTTAGGTCCAGCTGTAATGTTTCTAACTTTGGTGCTGGGGTAGTGGGTGCTTCCTTTCCCAGAAGGCTCTGTATTCTCAACATGTACAGGTCAATTTGACATCAAGTTAACTACAAGGAACAACGGACTCACTGCAGGCTGTGTTTCTACCTTGAAAATCATGAGCAGGTATTGGGAGCCACAGGCTGTATTTGGGAACCAGCTGCATGTCAGTACAAGCATGGATTGTGGTCCCTGGAGGCTGGGAGAGCACAATGCTTGAACTTAATTTGTTTGGGAGATAAGAAGAAAAAAAATCTTTCTGCCTGACAAGATCAACAGCTTATTAAATCTGACTGTCTTCAGAAGTGTGCTGGACTGTTTCTAAGTAAACGTTCACTTTTCAAAGATGATGATCAAGGAGACATCTCTGCGGAGGGACCCGGATTTAAGGGGAGAGTTAGCTTTCCTGGCAAGGGGCTGTGATTTTGTTCTCCCATCACGGTTTAAGAAGCGGCTGAAGTCATTTCAGCAGGCACAGGTTTGAAACTTGGGTGTTTCTTTTAAAATATTTTTATTACTAATAAAACTGCACCCAGTGAACTAACTTACAAATAATTTTACAGCTCACTTGTATCTTGATACTAGATCAAGGAATTAATCTGTGTCCTCTATTCAGCTATTTGAAGAAAGCTATTTGTAGAGAGATTCCAACAGGTTTAAAAATAGACCTTCTGGACCTAGAGTACAGTACTCACATTTTTCTCTTGTTGAGAGGGGAATCCAGTTTTAGAGACAGTAGATGAAAACAAATATTTTACAATATAGTGGAAAAATACTAGAATTTTAATAAAAATATCTTCAGGAAACTAGTACTTTTTTGTTTTTGAATCAGTAGTCTGTATTTGAATCAATAGTTTGTATTAGCATAGATACACCTATAATGAATATTTTGAAAAAAAGAATATTGATCCTGGTAATCTTTTAAAGGAAGAGCTTTTTTTATATGGAGATAATTTGTGTATATACATGTCTGATAATAGTGTATATAAATAATAAAGGATGGCAGTTACTTCTAGATTGTGAAAGAATTCCTCTCTCAGCAAGCTCTAAGGTTGAATCATTTCTGCCTGAGATGACATGCTTTTCAGAGTTCATGCTTTCTTGCTTACAGTGTTAGGGCCAGTGTTGCAGCAAAAAAAAAAAGTTGCTTCACATTAAATACATTATAAATCAAGGGCTATATGCGTGATGGCCATCCAAAATCCAGGCAAAAATCCTTATCATTGTGATTCTGACCTAAAGTAACTTCAAATTATTTGGGTGAGCTATATGAAATTGATCTTTTTGTAGGTCAAAAGTAGTCAAGTAATGGCACAATAGTTTAAGAATGAATATCTAACTGATACTATGTTTACAATGAAAGACTAAAGTGGAGAATTAAGATACTTTATCCAGCTAATTCTTACAACAACAAAAAGGGAATATATTTCAATGCTGTTCCTAGATTTGACTGAAAAAGCTATACTCAAAATGAGCCCATCCTAAACTTGCCAGTAAATCTGGCAAAATTTCTATTACTAGGTTTTATTCTTTCTTTATTATATAAAGGATAGTTTATTAAAATATTTAAGATTTAAAATGACTTTAAGATTTAAAATTGAACTAATTAATAGTTATTGAACTCAGTGAAAAATAAATTGATAGAACTGAAAGTTCAAGATAAATTTATTTTCCTTTTAAATATTAACATCAGTTTTATTTATTAACTGTGGAATTATCTAATTAACTTACTTATTGGTGAATTGCTCTGTATTAAGAAGTACCTTAAGGAAAGCAGAGTATAATATCATATAATAGAGTATTTTTCCATTCAGATAAAAACCTTGATAGATAGCCAGAGTTAGTTGTGAATGTCACTCATTTCTGTCAGAGTAAAAGTGTAAAGTTAACACCAAAGGCTTGTTGTGAACATTCCCCCTCTAATGTGTGTTCACTAGACTATTGGGTTTTGTGCCCACTGGAACCTGTGTTCTTAATCCTAAATCATAACCACTCTGAAATTATCCAGTGGATAGCACACCCTGGGAGATATTTTGGGGAGGGGTGAGGAATTTTAGTGATTTACTCTTGTTGTTGTTATGTGCCATTGAGTCAGACCTGACTCATAGTGACCCCTCCTTGGGTTTTCGAGACAATATCGCTACGGAAGTAGATTGCCCAACCTTCTTTCCGAGGTGTGCTGGTGGGTTTGAACCGCCAGCCTTCTGGTTAGCAGTCAAGTGCCTTAGCCACTGTGCTACCAGTCCTCCTATGTTGTTGTTGTTGTTGTTATTGTTATGTGCCGTCGAGTCGGACCCAACTCATAGCGACCCCTCCTTGGGTTTCCGAGGCGGTATCACTACGGAAGTAGATTGCCCCATCTTCCTTCCGAGGAGTGGCTGGT